TTTTCTTTTTTTAGCATTTGCTGTGCAATAACTTAATAGTTTTATTAAATTAAGTTATGCAGCTTAAATTAACTTATACAATATTAAAAGATAAATAACATTTTTAGCTAAATAACAAATATCACAGGTTTATCTTTTTTTAGCATTTGCAGTGAAATAACTTAATAGTTTTATTAAATTAAGTTATGCAGCTTAAATTATAACTTATACAATATTAAAAGATAAATAACATTTTTAGCTAAATAACAAATATCACAGGTTTATCTTTTTTTAGCAGTTGCTGTGCCATATATTTTCTTTCTTTTTTTTGAGTTTACTGAAAAGCTTACTGTAGCATAAGATCTTACAGTAAAAAAGTGTTTTACGATTCTTTCTTTAATATTACATGATTTAAAACATGCAGGAAATAATTCAATACATAAATCATTTACAATTTTATTAATTAAGTTATGAGAAGAGTTATATAATGTATTATATATGTCTTATACTTAATATAGAGAATTTCACAATTACAAATAATTAGAAATAGTTCCATGCACGGATGTTTCAATCCACCTTTATTCAGTAATGTGGTGTATGTCTTAATACTTTCAAACAGTTCATCATTAGGTACATTTTGCTGCAACTTAATCGCACATTCTTTGCAACAATTTTTTAACAACATATTGGTTGTACTTCCAGCAATGTGATATAAACTGTTTAGATTAATTTTACTAATGCATGTTAATATATGGTTGATAGTTTCTGTTTCAAATGCATCACTAGSAAGGTTACTAGCGTTATGTGTAAACATGTCACTAAAATTATTAATATTACTGTGAATACTCTCATAATCGGGATTCTGGAAAAAATCTATAAGATAAGTATCACTGTCCGTTATATAACTACTTCTTTCAACATGGGAAATAAATTGAGAAACTGAGATTGTTTTTAACGCACTAAGACACTGGGTGGCTGTAGGAGTTGCTCCGGATTTTCGTCACATTAGAGAAAAAAACATTTTCAATTGCATCTTGGGTGAATCTATAACAAATCAAGAAATCGAAGCCACAGTTGAATAGAGTTTCTGCAATATCAATCAAAGATAATGATGACATTATAAAACCGACATTTAAAGGTTTCCAACCATTTCCKATAGTTAAGTTCTCAACAAAGGTAATAACTTTCTCTAAAAAATCATATTTAGATTCTTTGTTATTTTTAGTTATTGATGTTTTTCTTAGTTTTGAGGCTGTCAAAGTTAACCATTCATCAATTATTCTAATAAAATGTGCTGTTACTAATGCATCTTGAGGTAAACCCCCTAACTTTACAGCTAATTCAAGAGCAACTGCAGTTTTTAATGAAAAAAATCTTATAGCTGATCCAACATTCATTTTCTGAAAATTATCCGGAAAGATATCTTCACGTTTCATGTGATATAAAGATCTAAGTTCTATTAATTTCTTCTGTCCACAATTTTGTTACATAAGACCCTTTGACTATTTGAGAAGGAAGATTATTTATGTCGCAGTAAGTTGTGGGTAAAATTATATCCCCTTTTAGTGTGGCACTTTTTAATTTTTTTATTAAATGACATACATCAGGAGTAATGAAAATATAATGCCCATTGTAAAAGAACTTATTTTCTCTAATGCCTTCTTTTTTTACTTGTATACCTAATACTGTCCAAAGTGCTCGATTGCTATTGCCCTTATCTGACGACAATGACAATACTTGAATACCACAACTTTCGACAAAATTAATACATTCAAAATGAAATTTTTGAAATATTCATTATAAACAGCACCATCTGTCACATGAGCACCTATAATTTGTTTCCATGTATGTTTCACACCTCTTATTAAGACCACAAGTAGTTTATTCCCTACTTTAGTTGAATTTCCTATTGTGATACCTCCAAACATTTCACGGCGATTTTTATCAAAACTTATATGTGGGCTGATTTCCATTTCGTCCACAGACATACAACAGAATCTATCACTTTCTTCCATACAGGAAACTTTATGTTTGAGTGGGTCAAGTAAATCATTAAAAACTCCAAAATTTAATTTAAACTGACGCAGTCTTCTTGTCAATGTACTGTAAGCTGGCAAAGGATATTTTGTTTCCCTAAGATAATCATAGCCGTGTACACCTAAGGCAAATCTCATCTTTAAGCCCTTAACGATGGTCTTGTTTGCCCACTTTCTAGGCGGCTTATTTAAAGCCAGAATCTGGTCATCACAAAGGAAAGTATTTAATAATTTATTACTTTTTTGAACTTCATCCTTCAGGTGTGAAACTTCCAGTTCAGCTAACTTCTTTTCTTCTTCAATTTTTTCAATTAATTGAATCTCTTTTTTCATAAGTTGATTCTCGTCTTTAATACATTTTATTTCAGCTCTGGTTTGTTTAAGTTCTTCTTGTGAAGCAAAAGAAAACATTGAAAAACTACATCCATATAAATAAAATATATAATTCAATGTTTGTTTTGCCTKTTTATATAAGAGAACGCYGTACCTGCATGTGTAGCCTCAACAGTGGCAAAAAGGTCTTACTAAACTTACTCTAAAATAATGATATCAATAAAAACCTATATGGGGCCTTAGATCTTACATTTTCATTTTACAATAGATCAATTCACTCTAATATCAAAACTAACAACATACTATTGTAAATTGTGAACGGAAATTTGCTATGTCGTACTTGTGTAAGACTGAGACAACACATGCAAGTACAACGTCCAGTTAATTAAGTACGTAAGCCCATAATTTAAATTACCACTTCTTTACCCTCAAATTTTACAAATAGATTATCAACATTACATAAACTAATATGCATCAGGTATTTAAGCTGCAAAATGATAAATATTTTAACTATAATTTAGAAGACTTACTTTTGGATCCAGTAACAAACATTGCTCACTAACCGGCTCAGAGTAATTCTCACTAATGGTTACATTACTTTCCATCAACTAAAATACAAAACAATTAAAATTAATGCTAAAATTAAACTTACTATACCCTGTGACAACATTTTTTCAGTCAAACAAGTATTAATTATCATTGCTGCAATTACCAATGGTCTGTAAAATAAATAAAAACAATATAGCACACAATTATAGCATTTAAATAAATAAATTACATAAAATAGATTAAAATAGATTAAAATAGATTAAAATAGATTAAAATGACTACTATTATTAATAATAATAATATATTTTTACTTACAATAAATTTGTTTTATTAATAAATAATGATAATATTATATACCTTATATAATGATTTTCTTTTAGTTTCCAACAATCGCGGTGGATTCGGTATATCGAACAGTGTTGGTATAGCATTAGGCTTAAGTTTTTTTTTAACCATCCTGACGATGTTGTTCAAATTGTCCTTCTTCAAAATGGATCTATTGGAATATGCATAAGATATAAAATTATATTTTATTATATTACGATATTTATATCTAAATCTAATACCTATATTCTGAAGGAAACGACAAAAAATATTAACATGACTAAATTGTATTAATAAATTATGATCTAATATACTTACTTCACACAACTCAGAACAATTTGTAGGCTGCCATTTGTCACGGCAACAATTTTGTAACCAAGTTTTTCGCCTTTTAGGGTCTCTTGGAAACCGAAAAAGTCGAAAACCTTTGCTACGTGTATTTGAACACTTTACAGCTGTACAACCACCCATTTCTTGTAGAATTTTATAGATAAATGCACATGATATTTAAAAAACATATACTTCAGAATTTAAACCATATATCCATAATATCCATTATTCACTATTCAGTTTTAATTCAAAATTTCAAACAAAAACATATTTTACGTATTAGCAAAAACAAGCGATTTCCGTTTATGACGTTCAACTGAATTTTGTTATTCTGTTATCAGTATGTATGAATTGTCGCTAAATGGCGGACGATTATACCCACATTTATAGTGCCTTATCGGCGGCGGCGGCTGTGATAGTGCTAGTACTCTGGTAAAACCCAGTTATTACTTAATTTTAACTGGACTTTGTTAACGATACATATCAATTTGGTTGTGGCTTTAAAATGGTGTGGTGTTATTACCAAA